AATGTGGCATAACTTGTAAGAGCTTTCTCTTTTGAGAAAACTTCAAAGTGGAACAAGTTCTCTAAGTTTTGCAAGTAAATTTTCTCTTATTCTAGATTTAAACATCTGCAACACTTATTGTTCCTGTAACACTGGTATTAAACATACTTTTTAATAGCAAAGAATAAAACCAAGTTTGCATTTCAGCAGCTTACGATCCAGATCCAAAGTAACCTGGAAGTCTAATGTATCCCTGTAATTTTGGAATAGTAATCATACAATGTTGCTAAACAATATAACAACAAATAAACTATCCATTTTTAGCAAAATTTTACATATTTATTTCCAGTTCAAAGGGAACTGGCATCTAAACAACTTTTCTTCAGAAATCTTTTATTTTGGAATTTTTTTAGCATTCCATCAACTAATATTTTAAGATATCAGAACAGCAACACCAAAAGTRCAGAGGAGGTGACAAACAACCAACTTTGTGGAAACAGAATAAAAAGAAAGAAGAATGAKGCCAAATGGGAATACTTGATTATAAACAAAAAGAAAACTAACAGCTTGAATATTCCCTCTGTGCCAACAGAAGCACTTCAGTTTTGAGACATTTTCCTGCAGGAAGCTGAGACAATACAAGTAAACACACTTAACCAAAGACAGCAGAAAAGGCACTGCAATGTCAAGTAATTTTGAGGAAAAAAAAAAAAAAGAAAAAAAGAAAAAAATCGAGCTAAAAGCAAATATACATTTAGCGAAACATTTGGCTTTCCAAAGTAAATGAAAATGTTGGGTATAAGTTTAGGGAGCACAATGCCTAAATAATTGTGAAGCACTGAAACCACTGAAAATAAAACATTATGAGATCAGAGTTTGAAAAGAAAACTGACTGTGACAGATCTGTTATCATTACAAATATCAAGTGTAATTTTAGTTTTTAAATGGAGCATGTGGATTGGATTCTAAAGGGGGAAAAATATTATCTGTGGAACTTGTGGGCTTCGTGACTACTGTTAACTTACTTAGCACAGAAAATAAAATCATTGAAGAATAATTACATAAGATTTGTCTTTCATTTGCTCTAAMAATCACACATGAGAGATTAAAGTCTCTCATCCTAAGTTATTTCATATTTTCAGAAAGAACAAATAAAAAAACCAGACCATTAYTATGCATTTGCTGGTAATAATAACCAACATCTTGATCATAAATAACAAAGGTTCACTTCAGTGATCTAAGAATACAATCCAGACCAAAGCACAAAGGACTGCAAGTGTCGTAATTCAATTAGCCTTAGGGTTTTACAAAACAAATGTCATCTTGTCTCAATTTGACATTTAAAAGAATGCTTAAAGCAGTTTGGGTTTGCAACTKCCACTTCTGGAGTACTTCTTCACGGAGATGTCTAGCCAGCCTCACACATTTTCCCAAGTATTGATGACTACAAAATCAGAGCCTATGAATAACAAACTTGATAAGGTAAATATTTAAATCTCAACAACAATTCTAGACTTATAGGGTTTTAGTTTTAGCTCTTTACTGAAAAGAAGACCTCTCTCAACTAGCACGAACACTGAATTACTTTCACCAAATATCACCTACTAATAATATATAGTTTCCTGTGAACATGGAAGAAGAGAAGAAAGAAAATCCAAAATGTGTTTTACTTTCTCTGCTTTTCAGAAGACTAAGCAAATCAGGAAGCTAGATAGGACTGATTACTGTTGCTTAAATATGTAAACTGGTAGACTGCATCAACACACATTGAAAGACAAGACATTCAGATCCAAATGTTCTCATCTACAAGATGCTCTATTAACAGATAAAGGTAATGCAAGTTTTTCACATAGATTTGCATATTCACTGGATTTCAAAAAGAAAGGGGATTTTGTTTGGTTAATAATCAAGCTGTCCTTGTCAGTTTCTAGCAACAGCTTTTTATCTCACTGGCTAGTTCCAAGCAAGCACAGGAGGAAAAGATTATGTCTTGGTTAGAGCTCTGTGCAGGAAAATGAAAAAAGGGACACTGCTATGTAGTGCTCCATGGAGCCAAAAGCTTCAGTGACTGTTCAGTCATCAGTACATCTGCCAGGTCACCKATCAGTCGACCCTAAGTGATCTAAACCATGTGCTGCCTCTTGCTCGGGCATCACTTAAAACACCTAGAATGAATCCAGGCTTACTGCTATGTTACATGAAAAAGATAAAAAAAGATAACCAGGCACCATGCTTCACTTTTTGAGAAACAACTTATGCTTTACTAATGTCCATAAACTAAACAAATAAAATAAAAAGCTCTGTCTTCCTTTGTACTTTACAAACAACAAAAACACAAAAAACCCCTCACAACAACAAAATAAGTCCAGCAAAAAAATTACAAACCACTTTCACTAGCTTCATTCACTGGCTAAGATGATACCATTCAATTAATATGTTTAATATTTTTTTCTCATCCCAAGACATGGATTAAGGTTTCATTTACTACAACTTTTTAAAAGTTTATACTGAGGATGGCAATTGTTACTTTCCAGTGAGCATCTATATATTGTCCAGCTTTGTTATTAGTAATGACCCATGCTCRCAGCATCCTCCCAATGAACAGTTCTGCCCCATTTTACAAACTGAAAATAGAGGTGTAGAGAGGTTAGTGAACAATGACCATGAGTTTTGGTATAATCAAGGTCAGCATTTTTCCCAAATACTTAATACCATATAGAACTGTTTGGGCTTCAAACAGCTTCCCTTGAGTTTGGTAAAAGCTAGCCACTTTTACACATCAAACTAAATAACCTGGCACCATGAACACATAATTATAAACAGAGTTTATGCCAACAAAAATAACTGCATTAAATCCTTTGAATGCCAGCATAACATAATAGCACACTGCTTCCACAAACTTAACCCCGTTTGAACCCATTTCCTTTTTAGGAAATGAAATAGGAATGGCCACTTAAACAWACTCATGATAAGCAACTATTTATGTTTAGTAATGCATTCCAAYGATTAATTAGTCCAGTAAGGACACACCCCTTATTTGAAGTTTGACCTTGGCTAATTCAGCTTCCAACCACAGAACTGTGGTACACCTGTGTCAGCCAAAGAGAGCTTTTATCAATTACCTCTTTGCCAAGTAGGTGCATATTAACTAATGAAGAAGCCCTTAACATTTCCTTAGCTAAGCTAAACAAAGTAAGCACCCTCTGTCTTTACTCAGACTGCTCTCCCCTGTTCATTTTCAAGGCTGTTCTCTGGAAGCTGTTTTTTTACCATCCTCTCCTGACTGTCAATAGCAGATGTACGGCTCCAATAAGAGTTAAAGCTGATATCTCCTAATTTCCAATTTCCTTGTTCAACTAACTACTCAAAGTTTTTCACCAGACCTTTAGCTACAGCCAAAAGGCTTGACTTCAAGTTCAAATCCTATCAGCCTCAGACCGAGGCCCCCTAATTGTTGCCCAATTTAGTATTTAGTTGCACTGATTGTGCCATGCAGCATTATGCTCATTTGTCCCATTCATTAGTGATCTAAATCACTTTGCAACCTTACTAATGTCCTTAGTACCAAATGAATATTTGTGATTTTCTAGGTAAGTAAAAGCATCTGAAATAACTCAAACACAGTTACTTACAGTGCAAACCTTGGATACTCAGTAAGGGAAGTTAGTGCAGACTGATTCTGTAGCATGCACCAACACTTGCAGATTCGTAACACATTCTGACACTGGATTTTGCATGTTGGACAGACAATCTTGCGTAGGAATCCGTGTTTGCAAGAACCCAAATCTCTAGCCAAAGTCCTCCTGGAATTCTTAACTAATAGGACTTACTAGAGTTTATTTTGCAACAAACTTTAACAAATCTTTAAAATACTCCAGAACCAACCAAGAAGCAATGCTTGCTAAAGATGAGGATAAATGAAAACAGAGTTGGATTTTAATTTAGTAAATTGACAAATCTAATCAATAGTTGCTTTAAAAACACATGCTTTCAATCTGTGTAGTAACATTAATTACACGGATCTTTAAAGTTTTTATCTAAAAGATAAGACATTCTATCTTTTGTGCATGAACTTTAAAGGCACTTAGGGTTTAATCTTCTCCATCAGAARTCGCTAGAAGTCACATGGCAGAAGGAAATCCATTATCTCTTAAGTTACATCAGCCAGTTCCATCCTTCCTATTTGTGATGGGATAGTTCTGTGACCTCAGAAGCATCAGAATGAAAAAAGCCCCACCAGTATTACATTCTTATCACAGCTTCTCTCTTACACCAGAGTGATGAGTAGCTTACCCATACCAGGAAATATTTTAAAGAACTGAGCTTCAATGGCATCTTTTCATATGATCCTTTGTGGATCACATAATAAACACACACACACACACACACACACACACAGAGTTTACATCTTTTAAAGCATTTTCTGATCAGATCTACGCAGTCCCTGCACTGAGTGTCCACGTCTCCTTTGTATTTTATGAGCAAGTTTGCAGACAATGATTTGCTGAGCTGTTACCTCCCCTTCTGCAGGAATTAGCATCCATTATCAGCTACAAAAGGAATTTATGCTGTTCCAGAGCACAAGCCTTTTTGCAATTATATTAACTTCAGTAAAAGAAACAGAGGCAGAAAAAGATCTTTACCTACCCAGAGTATGCACTAGTTAGAGCATCAATGCAGGATAAACAATATTTAATGGCAACAAAATAGAGGATTTAAGAAAAACAAAAAACAAAACAAAGCACTGAGAGACAGCTGGAGAATCTTGTAATTTCTTACTTAAAGTCCAAAATGAACAAAAACCAAAAATAATTTCTAAGAAATTTAAAAAAAAAAAATCACAGAAGAAATACACCAAGCAGAGCAATTACTGTTCCCCCATTTCCCAGCTACATTCCAGCTGGTATCTGCTTAAAAACTCCTGCTAGAATCATTGTCTGGTTTTCATCTTCCGGTAATTTTCCTTCTCTGATTTTATTACTTGGATAAGGCAAAATCTTAGAAAAGGAGGAAGAACTTACTGGTATTGAGAACTCCTCTGCCAAATACTTCAACACTGATGCCCCTCTAGTCAAAAAGTTACTTCTCTCTGCCAGATTGCCCTGGAGTTTTGTGTCAAACTCCTTTCTGACAACTGAAGCAACAGAGTCAATTATTATGAGTTTAACTTTCTTTGAAATAATTTCTTCTTCCAAAGACATAATCCTAAAAAAAAAAAAAAAAGTCACTGATAGCTTTATTTGCACAATAGAACCATTTTATAACACTCAAATATTTTACATAAAGTTCCTTTTAATAAACTGAAAGTCAGTCCCTCTTTTTCTCTCCTCACTTAACACCTCCACTAGCATCTGCATATATGAAAGAGATTTGGAAGGGGATCCAAGGCTCGGTGGGCTGAAGGCAGGACCTCTCCAAAAGAGTTTTGGAAGACCTCTAGTTAGCAACACTATGCTGTACAACCTCTGAACGGCAGACAGCAAGTAAAGTGGACACTGAAACTGTGCCTCACTGCAGCCCTSCAGTGCTTTAAAGGGATTTATAAATAAGGAGAGTGACTTTTTACATGGGCAAGTAGTGATAGAACAAGGGGAACTAGTTTTAAACGAAAGAGAGATATAGAACAGAAGTTAGGAAGAAATACTTTAGTCAGTGGGTATTGAGGCACGGGCACWGGTGCTGTGGATGCCCCATCCCTGGAAATGAYCAGTGCCAAGCTAGATGGGGCCCTGAACAACCTGATCTAGTGAGYGGTATCCCTACCTATGATGGAAGGCTTGGAACTAGATAATAACTTGAAGGTCTCTTCCAAACCAAGCCATTCCATGTTCCTTCATTATGCTACTAGCTGGTCTCTGATAAAACTGTATTAGAAGAAAATACTATTCTTACTGTAATTCTCCCATTAACATAAAACATAAAATATGATGCTACAATATGACTTCATACTTCACAGTGAAAATTAATTTTCACAGATTAACCTAAGGTAACAACATGACAACACAACACTGACAACAACAGTACTCAGGCTGGTGACAGTCAAATAACTCTTCCCACCATCTTCCTGGAAGAAAACTGTGATTTGGAGGAACAAACTTCTATTTCACAGAAAATGTAACTCTTATACTATAGTCTCTCCATGATCCAAGAGAATACCTGTCTCATGAACRTTCCCCTTTAAAGACTCACAAGGATCAGATCACACAGAAATTGTCTATCAGAAATTAAAAAACATCAAGTGGATTAGTCACACGCTATGAAATGGAAAGAGTAATATCAATCTTTCTGTAGTAGTGTTACTTTGCTGGAGACCATGCCAGTATCCAAATGAAAAGGTCTCAAATTAATTAATCTACACAAAACTTTGTAATAAAACAAATATTGTTACAGAAAATACAGTTCAAAATCGTATTTTTTTTAAASTCTGGAAAAGAATACCTCTTCAGTACACTGCAACAGGTCAGCTCTCGGTACAGGTGAACGCTACTGGTCATGCAGAACAGCTTTTCATCTGAGTCAAAATATGTAGGGAATCTGTTTGCTGCTATCTCAATCAMCCTATTAAAAAAAGCAAACAAACCCAGAAGGCATAATACTGCAAAAAAAATAATACAGGATAATAAGACATCAAGCATGCACAAAGCAAACACAGCAAACTTCTGAATAAGCAGATACCAACTAAAACTGGGAATCCTTTTAAAAGGAAAAGCATACTTTATCAGCCAGACTGAAATAGTGGAAGTCAGAACAATTTCAGAACAATTAGGTTCTCTTCCCAGTGATGATGAGTCAATGGTACACCAGGGAAAGACATCATGTGCCTCTATGTAAAGAAAGACTATCTCCTCTAGAAAGAAACTGCAAAGTTTAGTTACTGAATGAGTTCTTCAAGTTTTGTACCAGAAGKTCCACTCAATGACCAAGCATTTTACTATTCTAATTATTTTATCTACATATTAATTTCATTTAAACAGAAGTACTCTCCAACTCTAACCATCTTCCTGTTCACCTTTATCTTGCAGGGAAATCATAAAGCAGGCTTTGTGTCACCACAGAAATTTAGCAAACTGATAAAAACAGAAGATCCATTAGAAGATCTAACCAATTTGGAAGCAGGATTGCAAAGAATAGAGCACAGGTCAACTGCAAGTACATCTGCAAGCAGTACATGAATGGAAAATATGCCTGACAAAGTAAAAACCTTTTCACAGATAGTCTGTCCTTTAAAATATGAACACTGTCATTTGGATGGGAGACTTTCACTGAAGCAGCTTCTGGTTTACATTACCTAATAATAAAAAGGACTTATAAAATCTTATTAAAATATATATTTTAGAAAACAGCAAAATAACCAAAAACCATAAACATCACTGCGTCACAAAATGACTGAGGCTCCAGGTGCCAAGGCATCTACAACTGAACATCCATTCATTCAGACACCACAGCTAAAAACAGCATGACATGATGTAACAAAAAGACTAAACYGTTCACGTGGCTCCTTTACTGACAGAATGGAATGTGGGACTCCATGATTAAATGTTCTCCACTACYTTATTAGCAAATTCATAACCTTTCAAAACCTTGAATTACAATTGCTAAGCATACTAGTGTAAATTATCAGAGTAGACTGAGGAAGTCTATCAGGTAACTGGTGATAATACCAAAAGAAGTCAAAAGAAGTCAGATATTTATTATTTATTGTTAAAATATTTTCATATTCACAAATTATGATTTGGAGAAAATCTCTCTCACAGATATAAAACTGAACAGTTTTCAGTTAAATTATACTTTATACATAAAATCATTGAGGAAACTAAATGCTATGCATTTTACAAATGCTGTCTTCCTACAAACTCCTGAGAAGTTAATGGAAAGAAGTTCCACTTCTCTGACCACAAGGCAATTTCATCTAGGTCCTTAAAGAGATGATTCAAGAATATCACACTGAAACTCTAGTTACAATCTGTACACTGAGAAGTTTTTCCACAACATAGACTTTACTTTTCAGTAACAGAAAACACTTAATTGTTTTTATTTTAAGCAGACATATCCCACAACCTATAGCTTGAGAAGAGTGGCATCTAGTGGATTACACTTGTGGGCACATCTTAGTGGTTACCTCAATGATTTTGATTTAGGCCTCTTTCATTGCAACACAAAGTTAAAGTCATAGGGAAAACAAAATTAAAATCTGTTTTATTTGGTTTAAAAATAGAAATACTATGCTTGAATGTTAATATACCTACCCTAAGCAAACCATTTCAATATCTTGAATCTAATTCATTAGGTACATTACTTACTACATCTAAACTTATCCTACAGAAGCTCCAGAGACAGAATTTTGTCTGCCCACCTGTACAATTAATCATGTAGACCACTGGGCAACAGTAAGCAGCCATTCAACAGTTTGCATAAAATGAGATGCCACTGTGCCTTCTAACAGCCAAGSATATCACAAAGAACATTGTTATATACACTGACCTAAAATGACATATTGAGAGTGCAGCACTACTCACAGAGCTCCATGCAGGTTCAAAGTTCTTTAGTGTTTAAATCCCTTTTGTCATGATGAGATCAAAATTGCATAGAACATGTTTTCTGCAATCAGGACAGAGGCCCATGGGATAGATAAACCTGTTTCTTTTCAGCTTTGATTCACAGAAATTTGCACCTTGTGTTTTTCACAAGCAGTAAGTATGACTAGTGAAAAAAAGCCAACTTAAATTATTTTCAGACTTTCTGAGTAAGTCTGGTAGGTTTTAAGTTAATAGCTGGTTACTACATAACTGATTACAACAATTTTGATTTCCAGACTTACTATGKCCCTTTCCATGTACCTGTCCTATTGTCCATGTTCTGATGAAGTGGAATGACAGACACCTCTTGTACTTTTACAGCTTTCCCTTACACAAGAGAAAAATATAAATTACAGAAACCTGTGGCACATCTTACAAGACCAGCCTCAATTCTGATCACTCTTCCCAGTATTTGTATTAGACTGAACTAAACTGTCWTGTTACAGAATAACAAGACTTTGAAAGTTTGTGGAATCAAAAAGCTCCCTTCCCTGAAGTAAGACCTGCCAGGCAGAATGAAAAAACATTTCTCACACTACAAGAAATAAAATTAGCCAGCTTTATGGAGTATYTTTCTTGAAGCAGCACAGGATTACAGCCTGTATGACAGCTAAAACTTAGCAGATCTCAGCCCTAAAATAAGCAGAAGGGATACAAGCACTCTTCTCAGGCTTTCTGAGTAGAAAAGTATAGACTTTTGAATGTTAAATAAAAATAGCATCTCTATCGAGACCTTTAAATTAAGATGTTGTTGAGTAATTGTCTTCTCATCTGAAGTGTTTAGATCAACAACAAAAACTAAGTATCTTTTATCTGCCATCTATTAATAATAGAGGAGTACAGAATCGTAAGGAAATTCCAGTTAGAAAGAGAACTCAGGAGATTTGACAGCAACACCCTGTTCAAAGTAGTGCCAGCTATGAAGTCAGAACAAGTTACTTGAATGTTTTCTATTTCAGAAGCCTTCAAGGATGGAGGCAGCACTACCTCTCTGGGAAARGTTTTTTCACCCCAAAGGCAGTTAGGAATTGCACAGCCTCTCCATGTRTCAGGCCAGAAATGCAGCTCACTGTATGCCTGAATAAAGCCTCTCCATTGGCGAGGGAAGGCTACTGTTAAATAGCCTCAAAGCCGTCTCTGTTAGACTGAGCAAGCCTTCAGTCTCTACAAATGGCAATTGCTCCAGCTCCCAAACACCTTGGTAAGAGGGGATATGCACCTGCCTCACTCTGCTAGGTCAGCTCCTTAGAGAATGCAACATAGAAAGTATAACATATARACAGTCTGCTGAAATTGCATTTATCATTTGCATCTGAGCAATACCAAATATTATTTAATACATAAATATTCTCATCCTTAATAATGTTATTTTCTCCATATTTCCTTTCTACATCCTATTCTATTTTCAGCAGTTTCATTYTCATGTGCACCTGCTTTCCTTTTCTTCAGCATTCACTTCTGAGTGAAAAGTCTTAACTCACTCTTTAGGTCTCTTTAGGTCGTACGGCTTTTTCCTACTTAGATTTCAGGGACCTGAAATAAAACTTAAGTGGTRTGTAAGGAGGAAGCACCATACTTTGCAGAGCCATTGCTTGAAGCGTTTTTTCTTTGATATATTGTACTTCAATCTGTTGTGACATTGACAAAAAACAGAGTTAGAAATACCATCTTCTCATCCATGATAACTTGAAATGAATAAACAGTGGAAATACATTTACTTTGACATGCCAGATTCATGCCATGGCTGTAGCCACTAAATAATCTGAAATATGCAAATTATTTCAATGAATAATTTGCATATTTCTGCCCATTTTTCTAAACAAACAAGGATAAGACTACTGTACTTCTTGTCCTTCCTCAGACCCTTAATAACTTTTGTACTTGCTCATTCCAAATCATCAGGACAAAGGAATAGAAATGTCAAAAATATCAAATCCTCAAAGATTAGCAAAGACATAGCTAAGTAAAATAAATTAGAGCTACATTTAACAAAATACTGCAGGATTATTTCAACAGTTAATCAGCCAGTTAACATGGGAAGTGTAGAAACTAACACAGGGACACATGGGTAGCCACTGAARAACCAGAGATGTTCCAGAAGTAAGGTGACATAGTACTGCATGACTGCAAAGGATATAGGGCATGCAAGGTTACTGCAGAAGGGAATCAGAAGAGCACAAGGACATACACCCCATTCAACAGAAACAGGATGGGAATCTGAAGGAAAACTTGCTATGTAAGTCCTATCATTCCCTGGAAAACTTCCATTTCCTTTGTAGTCAAAATGCTGGCCTTTACATCCTCAAAAMCTTCCTGTTAACTCCATAAACCAAACTGCAAAGAAAGATTTCAGGTACAGGACTGATAAGACCATTTATAAACTAAAGATCATGCSATGACCTTGTCATACCAGAACTGGAATCTGCAACATCATACAAATTTASAAGGTGAGCAATTCATTTTATTAAATTAATTTCATCGTCTATGGAATAACTGCATTTACCAGAGGATGTTCAATAATAATTAACACCAGTATCTAAAAATGCACAATTATTGCTCAGATAATAATTGAAGGTTCCAAGATAAAAGGTGCTAAGAAGTTGTAAGTATATATTTTAGGATTTTGCATCTTACCTTTCTGCACTGAACGCAGACTCTGTGTCAATGTATATGACAGCCCCATCCAGTCCTCCCATGCTTACAGGCAGTGTAGCCAGAACACTCATCATAATRCAAAACTGAGTTTTTCCACATCCTGGTGGGCTAGTTATCTGGAAGAAAAAAAGATTAGTAACATAACATTCATTTCACCATAATTCTACTTTTATCTAAGTTTCATCAGCCAGTGCTCCTCCAATTCTGCTCTTTCAGTTGCCAAAGGAGGAGACAGCCATGAAAAGACAGAACACAGCCCCCAAAGACCAACTTGCAGTTACTCTTGGATCYGTACCTTGCAGTCACACTCATCCCCTGAAGCACAAAAAGCTTTTCAGACACRGCATTATGTTTATACTTTATTTCTCTGACATCATTATTACCTTTCAAATTTGAGGTCCCCTACTCTCCCMCTCATCTCACAAGATCTTCCCTAGAGACAACTAGCTCTCTTCCATCTGTCTCTGTGCTACCTTCTGAAACAGAGCAGAATTAGAAGATTCACAGTTGACATTCCCATGTCATCAATGGTCTTTAGAGCTGAAAATAAAGTCCAGGGCTAAKGAGCTCACAGACATAAACAATTCCTTAGGAATAATCATTACCTTGGTTAAACCAGGTCTCTCTCAGAAATCAACACAATAATTTCTTATATGTAGCAAAGATTGAAAGTTCAATATGAACCATATATATACATGACATATTTATCTGCTCCAGAGACTACACTCTGCAGAATGTAGCATGTGTTTTTTCATTGGTGTTAACTMCCTTTTACCATATTTCAACACCAAYACTATTCAATSATCCAGACCAGCTYCCCAGTTCTAAGCTCCCACCTGTGCTCACTGAAAGCCCCTGCAGTGAAGCAGTATTCAAAGAGAGCACACTCAGCTTGTAAGAAAAGCTTCCAGAATGATTTTGCTTGAAGAGAAAAACCACAAAGATCCAAAGAATACATTTTTGGATGAGATCACCAGTTTTGAGAGCAATATTTTTTCTACTAGAGATGGCAGTCTGCTGCTCTTTATCCACTGCAGATCTTCCAGAATTTGTATCTGAATCTGGGCTCTGTGTTCAGATAACTGCAAGTTCATCACTACTACAGTGAGTCTTTAAATACAATACTGCATTGTCACTGCTTCTGGGAAGGGAGATCATGAAATCTCAAATACTAAGAGGGCTGAATAACAGCAAAAACAAAGTGACTTTRGGAAGCAAAAACAGGGACAGGTTCACTGTGATGCCAGTAGCAACTAATAATGCAAGGTGTAAAAGCAAGCCTCTCCAGGGAAGTTGAACCATAAAACAAAGCGCGCCTTCTCAAAACATCTAGTACTGCCAGAACAAAGGCCTAAATACAGAGTTGTTCCTTTAAATTAAAAAAGAAACTTTACAAACAGACAGACACTCAAAATCAAACTGATTTTAGAGACTACATGCACAATAGTTTGGTTTCAAGCAGAAATGCCTTTTCACCCCAAGACATTATAGTATTGCTATGGTTTTGTTTTAAGCAACAGCAGAATGACTTGAAGCACAGAAAATATAGAGGGAAACACTGAAGGATCACATTAGCTACAGCTAACAGGTGGTTAAAATCCCTTTAATCACCTTTGTCTTTAAAYAAGGCTTGAAAGCCAAGCCACATCAATCAATCTACTTGAAGCTTCAATGCAAGAGAAGAATTGGATGATTTTTGTTTAGAAGCACACACTGCATTTAGTGGATTACAGATGAGGAAACGTTCATATTTATGCAATTACCTGTTCCCCAGCCAGTGTACTTAAGTTTAAAAATGTCTTATTAACAATAGCTGCTATAATTGAATATGAACCCATAGCATATATAAAAAGTGCAGAGGCAATACACATTCCTTAGACTGTGATGGCCAATGAATCTTACCACCTGTTTCTAAAAAGACTTGAAATGAATGAGGGGAGGGCATCAATCCAGTTTGCTAAAATAAAATGTTTGGACAACTGTGAGGATACCTTATAAAATCATTTGTAGTTTCAGCCTYGCCTGGGAGGTGCACTGGAACCAACATCCATTTCAGTGGCTGAAACAGAAGCTAATTCAGCAAAGATGCTATAAAAAGGTCAGAGGATATGAGCATTGTATCAGAGAAAATGAGAGAACTTTGCAGTACAAGCTAGTACAAGGAAGCAAGCCAATAGAGCAAGAAAGCATTTCTATTCCCAGAGACAAGAATACTTYATGTTTAATCAGCATGCCTTTAAAGGGCCTTAAAACAGGCTTTCAAATAACCCAGTGAACAATTTTACAAAAATACAACATTTTATTGTAGTTACCACAGGTTGAGCAAGTGTTTAAAACAACAGAAGCCTACTTGATATTCCTCTAATAAATTTAAATCAAATGTCTGCAGAACGTTTGTTTGGTTTGTTTTAYGCTAAATTTGCTCTGGGAAAAAAAAAATCACCCAGATAGAAATGTGAAGACATATAGTTTTTAAAACTATATTTTATTAGGCAGAGATGAATTATTTTTCAGTAAGTTATATATTATTTTCTCTGGCACATCTGTAGGGTTTGGATGAAATCTCAAGGAGTTAATTCTTCATCTACCAGAAGATTAAACCCTTCATTATTCATAATTCAAAAAAGTAATTATTTTAATTTTTCCTCGTAAAACTTGCCAAAAGCTCTGATACCTGACCACAGAATTTCAGCTATGATTTTGTCTCTAACTTAAAACCTAACAGTGGCTTGGGAAAAAAGTGGTCTGAGACAGCGTAATGCAAATCAAATTCCTCTGGAGCTCAAAATGCAAGATGTTTTGGCTATAGCAGATACCACCGCAAGTCTTAATCCTGTGGCTCAGGTACTCAAATTCCAAGTTTCCAGCCACCCTCACTGCTAGGTAAAGTAACAAKGACAATGATTTAGGCACACCAGTCAGGAAGTCAAAGTAAATGCTGCATCCAGAATACTTTTGAAGATAACTTCTCTCAGACATAAAATATCAGTCTAATTCAAAAAATACTAAAAGAGAATGTATTTGTCAGCTATGCTCCAGTGAATTTCAAAAAAGCAAATKGAAATCGTTAAATCCTAAAAGCACTTGAACCCCAAAAAAAAGACCTGAAAGCATTCACTAGCTGCAGTAGAGCATAAAAAAGCAGAAGCACAGCACCAAACCAGCAGCAGCAGACMCACGATAGCTTTCCACTAAAATTTCATCTAACAATCCCGACGAACACTTAAGAGTGCTGCCAACCTTTTATACTAATTCAGATCTCATGACTCTTGCTTTCAAAAATCCCCAAAACCAGGCTTTAAAAGAAAAAAAAAAAAAAACAGTTTCTGTATAGTTAATGGTTCTCTGCCTTTACATTTGCTGAGAAACCCCTACTAGGTGCCCTCATTGCTTTCCACACTTAGTACCTAAAAGGCAAATAAAAAGCAATACAGTGTTGGGGGACTTTTTGATACCTCTTATCTTTTGAGTTATTCATCAAATTTGTGGATTCTACCCAGTTATCTCTACAATATTTCTGACTAAATAGTTATATGTGCCAGTCTCATCAGCCTCTCAGCAATCACCACCAAGGTACAGGTGGAAGGACATAGTGCCTGTAGCTCTGGTCTCATCCACTACACATCTTGTACAGATGCCAACATCTCCAGCCCTTGGTGAGATCCCCCATTGAAGAGAATTGCACCAGGCAGGTCTTTGCATTTTTAACCAAAATATCTTAGAATACAAAAAAGTCACATTCAAAAACTTTTTTGCAGTAGAAAACTTAAAAGTGCAATATTTCCTTTCCTGGGGCTGTGTTTTTCATTTACATGCAGATAAAAGTTTGGCCAATAAAAGTTACATTTTGATGGTAACCTGCATGGTGTACACACTATCATCTACAAATGGAAATACTCAGGATCTTTAAAAATTAATATCCCCTCACRATTAGATTTCATAAGTCATTTCTATCAGATATCAAAATCAATCTAACTTGATTATAGAGTGTGAAAAAAAGTGTTTTCTTCCTAGTAAGATTTTCACAACTTCTCATTTTTATTCCTCTACTGTGACAAATTGCCACAGCAGACAAAGAAAAGCACTTGGCAAGGACTGGTATCTTCCAAAAATTGTGTATTTTGTGTTTAAAGCATCTGACACAAGAGAATCCAACCTATCTGTGACTTTTGACTTCTAGGCAGAATGCTCAACTAAAGTATAATATTTTAAACAAGTTACCTCTGTGAGGGATCCACAAGGCACTCCACCATGCAAGACTCTATCCAAACTATGAAGCGTGGTGGATAAAAAGGCTGAAGAAGGATTGACAGACTTCCTTAGTTTCATTTCATAAGCCTACAAAAGGAGGGGAAAAACAGGAAGAGAAAACAAGAGAATCAGAAAATGCTTTTTTAATGGAAATAGTATTTGCTTTCAACAACCTGGATGACTTAACACTCGCCAATGAGTGAAGTATTGCCATATTCAGCTATAGTCTGCTCTTAGCTCATCACCCTTCAAGTTTTCCAGAAATTAGGGCTTTACTGCGTATTTTGGCATAKTCTCAAATTCTGGTTCAAATCTTATATCTGGAGAGTATCTTCCCCTTATACACACCTCCTATGATCTAATTTATTTAGATTGGGTTTTTTGCTCTTGCTACATCGGTCATGATGCTACATCCCTCGCTCTGACCTGAAGTCCACTTGATATCCTGTGTTTGCAAAGATTCAATCCACATCCCTTAAACGCAGCTAACATCCTCTGTTTCTGGAAGTATAGTTATGGTAGGCACRCATCTGGTCATCTACCAGCTGCCTCTGTATAAACAGACCGTGACCACTGCTGTCTGATAAACTTCAGTATCTGCCAGGCTTCTCTGGCTTCACTGAGCAGAGATGTGTGGATGACAGGCAAAAGCAAATGCTAGAACTCCGTTTAAATTTCCTTCTCTCTTCAATTTATTAATTATTAACAGTTATTGATGAAAATCTAGTCATAAGCTAGCTTTAAATACATCCAATACAAGTTGTAATAATTCTTCTATAACTAACTTTAGTGCAGCATATCTGTAAATTTAAAGTTTCACAAAATTACAGATATAATTACTATGCCAATTACACGTAATAAACTTTGACATGGAGTATTTTTGTCAGGAATAAAACGGGGTTGCATTGACTGAGGTCAGAACTGTCTATACCCTCTCTCTTCTAAAAGACATCTTTTCACATGAATTCAAAAAAAAGAAAAATCCAGCCACTGCATTGCAGTTAACATGTTTCCCTCTTGCACCTCCCCAGTTAGGCTACCTGTAGCCTAAGGCACAYTACAGCTCATTTACATGGGTGAAAAAAGCCTTCAAGAAATTATTTTCAGGATCATTTCACTTGGTACCACTTTTATATCTAAACCAAATTTTGTAATKAAATTCTTATTATTTTCTTGTATTAAACAAAATCTTTATTTTTTAGTTGCAGGATCCAAACTAGAAGAAATTTTTACATGCTGGATTGCCAAGASTATGACTTATTTCCCGACTGCACTCAGAACCGATGCTGCAAGCCTGAACAATCTCATGGGGCTATAATAGCCAAGAAATCTAACTACATCAACCTAAAGTGCATCAGAGGCCTACATTTAAAAATAAAAACATGATGTCATTGTGCAATAAAACTGAGACACCACAAGCTTCCCAGCTAAAAAGATGAGTGACAATGTTCAGCTTTTCCCCAGATATTGTATCAAAAACAGTATCAACACAAACATACTTACTGTCTGCATTTTGGGAGCACAAGCTCGGCTCACTTTATGAAGAAGTTTCTGCACCTCATAGTAGCTCTGTCCTGTCACTTTCATTAGCTCCAAGAGGGAAAGACATAAGAAGTCCTGAAAGATTATAGAGCAGTTCAGAGAGCTCAACCTAGAAATCCAGGCTGAGGACTAAACTGAGGCAATCTGCACAGAACTAGTACATATTCCACAGGTTTACCAACTCTCCCCTCAGATACTCATAGACATTGATGAGGTCCCCTCTCAGCTGTCTCTTCTTAAGACTGAACAGGTCCAGCTCCCTCAGCCTTTCCTYATGAGAGATGTTCCAGTCCCCTCATCATCTTCATARCYCTTCACTGGACCTGCTCCAGGAGCTCCCTGTCTCTCTTGTCCTGAGGAGCCCAGAACTGGACATTGCACTCCAGGTCAGGCCTCACCAGGGCTGASTAGAGGGGMAGGATCACCTCTCTCAATGCTGGCCCCAAAACCACCAAACCAAATCCAACCACAAAAACCACCCCACAAACAAAATAACCCTTTCACCTGACAGGTAGTGATCTGATAGCGACTCAGCCTTTCACACAGCTCTTGAGACAACTGTGCTCTTCTTAGTTTCTTAGCAGCCATGCTTCCCAGTCTACAGGGCAAATAAAAGAAAGAAATGTTTGAAAGACAATTTGAGTATGACTATGTGGACAATTCCACTAACTCCCTTCTAATGAACAGGGAGGTGTGCACATATACATCATGTAATGTGATATAGACTTYCCATTTAAGTCTGTGTCACATTAAATTATATTAACAGTCTGAATGCAGTTTTGTTAAATTACAGCCCCTCGTATTTGACCACCTATGAGAACAYACCAGCAAGAACGAAAGTGTCAGCAATGTCTATAAGGACAGACAGCTCTAGGACATAAAAAAGCCAGCAATCACAGSAAGCATTCAGCCCCAGAACATACACTGCTAGAATACAACACTCAGTTTTGGTGACCCCTTGACACAGAATTCTGCTGAACAAAATGCCACGGGATGGTGTTCAGTCCAGCACAACCCAAGCACACATACACGCATGCTTGACCATGTCGGTTTCACACGCGTTATTCAGGCAACATTCTTATGTAAATGTAGGCAAACARAGGTTTTATAATGTAGTAAGTGCAAACATTGTGAATGCTTGCCATAACACAAAACTGTTACAACTTTGCAGATGCAAGGGCTTCCACATCTTCACAAGACGGAAACTTTATTGCCCGCACTACGAAATTCTCCTTAAACAGGAAGGAACCCAAACGTTTCCGGCTCCCTCCGCCGCCCAGCCCAGCCGGCCCCGGTGCCCGCCGCAGCAACCCGGGACACGGGGATGCGCCGGCAGCCGGAGAGCCAGCCCGGCCCCCTCTCGCCCCCGGCAGCACCACGGGCACCACAAAACCCGCTCCCGCCGCAAAGCAGCCTCACCCCCGCGGCTCGGGGTCTCAAAGCAGCCCGTACCCTCGGCCCCAGTGTCTCCGGCCGGGCCGGGCCGGGCCAGCCCCGCTGAGGGMGCGAACCCGCGCCCCCGAGAGCTTTCAAAGGCTCCGCGCGCCAAGGGGCGGGGCTGCCGGCAAGGCCTGCGCTCGCCATTGGCTGCGCTCCCGCCAATCCTCGTGCAGCGCTGACCGCGCGGGGCATGCCGGGAGCGGTAGTTCTCGGGAGCGGGCGGGTTTGTGATGGCGATGGCGCTGCTCCTGGTAGTGTCACGCCGCCCCTCTTCTGTCAGGAGTCTGCTCTGCTTTGCGGGGAATGAGGGCCCGAGGGAGTGTGGTCAGTGTTCGTTCCGCTCGTGAACGTGAGCGCCTCTCCGGAAGCGAGAGGGAGTTGAGTGGAATGATGAGTCCTTGAGACTCCTTTTCTCCAAGCTGAACAACCCCAGCTCCCTCAGCTGCTCCTCACTGAACTCCAGGCCCCTCACCAGCTCTGTTGCCCTTCTTTGGACATGCTCCTGTAACTCAATATACTTCCTGTATTGAGGGGTTCAGAACTGGACCCAGTACTCGAGAGAGGGCCTCACCAGTGCCAAATACAGGGGAAGAATCCTTTTCCTAGTCCTACTGGCCGTACTATTCTTGATACAGGGAATTTCTGAAAGTAACAGGGAGAAGCTGTCATCAAACATGATTGACATGAATGTCTATGGTGTGAATTTTCTGACCCACTCTAAGTTACACTAGAAAGTACTGCACTTAGTACTGTTTAAGTTATCTGCATAATCTTTACAGTACTAAAAGAAAAATAACCCAAGTGAAGAAAAGATGGGTCACCTTACTTTGGACATCTAACTGAGAAAGTGTACATTGGGAACTGCATGGCAAGGCTTTTGTCTATTCTGAAGCAAATGCCACAGTGAAGTTGCAAGCTACAGAATACTCCAGCCATTGTTCCAAATGAGTGAACAGCAGGAGCAGCAAGAAGCTATCATGAAATGCCCAACAACTACAGTGTTCAAAAGGGCCAGTAAATTCGTGTTTCTTTCATGCCTTGGAGGGAGCTTACATGCCAAAAGAAGTCCAGAGGACTTAAGAAGCTGGGCAGGGAGTAAGCAGCCCATACAAGCAACTCAGAGCTGTAGTGAAAAGGTAATTGAACAGGGAGAGATGGTATGGAGGAAGAGCTCCTCCTAGTGTAGTTGGCCTTTAAAAGTTGACTTGAAAAATTTAAGGCACAGTTGTGAAAAGCTGTCCAAGGAAAGGGAAGATATGTCTGTTGCTGCAGTTTAGTTTCAGTGTAAAAAGGAAGACATTACCATAGTATAACTCATCATGAAACTACTCTTTCCTCCTTGGTATAGGGGTAGCAGAAGCCCCACCTTTCCACCAGAGGAAAAGGGAGCATTGCCTTGATGACTTTTCTTTCCTCCCACAAATGCTTTTCCTTCACCTCCAGGCCAACAGGCTTCCTTTCCACTTTCTACACAAACAGAATACCTGTATTAAACCAGAGAACTGTTTGGGGATGTTGAGCAAGGGAAGAAAATCTTACCAGCCAAGTTGTTAAGAAACAAAATCACTATACCCAGGTGCCTCTCCTGCAAGTCCTTTGAATCTCATTTCTCAGAGGTGTCATGATTGTTCCACTGTCTGCTTCTCAGACATGCAGATACACTTTTAAACCTACTGTCAAATAATTGTGCACCATCTTCTCTGTGTAACCTGAGAGAGAACATTCAGAGGATAACCAGAGAGGTTCACATGTGCTTAGTCACTGTCAGGTTCTCAAGCAGCAACAYGGCTGGCAGCTCCACAGCTTCCACATGTTTGTGTAGGACAGTAGTGGCTACGGAATCAGGCCACTCTGCAAACAGCTCTGCTCTGCTCTGACCTTGGTCAAGCTTCTTCATGACAGGGTGTCTGTTGTCCCTCTTGGATTTTCTTTTAGCTCTTTAGTCTRCAAACATAGCAAGTAGTGCCGGTCCAATTAACTTACGTGTCGGGCGTGATACAACATAGAACTGCACTAGACTAAGCCTTTTGCTGCTTCTGGAACTTATAAGAAGGGATTAATAAAGCTAAGAGATGATTACTTTATAAGAACTGAGTTTCACCACATTAACATAAGAAGGTCGTTTGAACTGGCAACATTGGAGGAAGAGTCACAGAAAGGCAGAAGTGTAACAGCAACAATAAATGAGGTCTCATAGAAGCAAAAGGATCAAACATCAAGCACACCAATTAAAATAAAAAAGGGAATGGTGATTAGCTTGCTAATCAGAAAATGATGGAGTCTGATTTGAAAGACACATGATGTATCTTATCAGTACTTATCAGTTCCTACCCAAATAAATACTCAGCAGTTAATAATTCAAGTCCCTAGAATTGAAAAGATAATGGTAAAATGTTTCCTTTCTGCAACAGATTCCACAGAAAAGTTTCTTCCTCAAACCCAAGGCAGCCTTTTGTGAGTGTTGTCAGATAACAGTTTTCATTCTGGAACATTTCAGATGATTCACGTAATTATTAACACAGTGACAGCTCACTGATAGTGTTCAACAATCCTCAGGTTTATTACTATTTTTCAATCAATTCTTGCCTTACAATTAGCAGTGTTCCCCTACTCCTGGGAAAATGTCTCCCCAGAAGAGTTTACTGTGGGAGAATACAGCAACAATTCAGAATCACAAGGGTAATCCAGATACTCAGAGCAATTCCCCCGCCTTATGCTTGCTGACTGGAGTCTAATTAGTCTAATATATTCTTATTCCTCAGGGTTATCCACTTGAAGCCTACCACATTCTTTATTGGAAAGAAATTACCCATGAACTCCAGAGGCTGGAAAACAGGTATAGAACAGCCCATGCTTTCCTGGGATTAAGATCCCAAGAGGTTGCTCAATAACAGTACACAAAGGAACCATCAATGAAGTATTCTGTCTGTGTCTGTCTCTCCAAAAGAGTTGGAGATTTATTACCACCCTTTTGAGGTTTCCCTATCTCAAAAAAAAATTAAAAAAAAAAAATAAAAAAAATAAAATAAAATAAAAGATCTCATAAGGAGGCCTGAACCCTGGTTAAAAATGCTTTTATTTTCCCTGCTGGCCATACCACCACAGCTTGAGCAAAGCTACCTCAACTTGAGATTTTACCAGATCCATCTGCTCCAAGGATGCAGTGGAGGGAAAGGAAACCACCCTTCTGTTGGTTCCAGAAGCAGTGCAGCACTGTTGCCATTGGCTATAATAAACAAATCAAAAACAACAGATCTGTGAAAAAGTAACTCATCTTTTCATTTTGACTTATTCTTCCCCCCACGCCCCAGTCCTCTGAACCATCTGTGGACTGGATAAATGCTTCTCCCCAGGCAATTAACCTCTTTTCTCCTGCTCAAGAAGGATTAAACCCAATTATAATGAATCCTCCTCAGGTATTAGTGAAGACCTGTCTGACCACACAYCTTTACACCCAGGAAAAAGATTTATTTTTTTCCCCCTCAGGACAGGCAGAAGGCATTTCTGTTTTCTGCCTCTTCACACATACTGCTGTGAATCCAAAATTATCYATAACCCCCAAAACCATTTCAGAAATATTCAGCAGCAATGTAGAGTTTTTTGAAAGGAGCATCTGTACCTCCTACCCTTCTTACAAAAAAGCAGACTAGCCACATTCACTACTGCAGGYGGGACAGACCCACCTGCATGTGACAGCTTTGAAAAATTCAGCTGCATTTGCTTTCTGCCCAAACTATGACAAACAAATTGAGAGACTTCAGGGATTATTCCACTTTTAGCMTGTACTCATGTAAGAAGATTACCCTTCAAGATCAGCTTCCTACTTAATTTAGCTTTTCCTGGTTAAAGGGACAGGGGGAGCCATTCAAGTCTTTGGACTTTTTMTATTTCTCTGTTAAGTTTCTATTAGGTGAGAAGGTCATGAACTGATACAGCAGCAGCATAATAGTCAATGTGGAGCTTTTGGTACCAGAGAGATCTTTACCTGTACATGCTAAACCAAATTTACCCTACATAAAACAAACCTGACATCCTCCTGCCTTGCACCTATGCCTTAYCAGCACCTCTTTTTGACTGCCTTGTCTTGACATTCTGTTAACTGATGTTGCTGGGGTTGTCCCGGTAGTGATGTCTGCAATCACCAGTTGCCACTCTCAACACAGAATTTCCTGCAGCTTTCCCTGAGATGCTGAGATAGATGAAGAAGTGACAAATATCACAGCAGYGGGTCTTTAAGATCACTGTGATCCTTCACAGTAGCCAGCCTCTATTGAGAAGCTGCAATTAGACTGGAAAAATCCAAGTACCTCACAGTGATCAGCAGCAAAAGTGCAGTGTGTAGCCCTTGTCATCACACTCAGAGTCAGACGCCATGAAATTAGCACTGATGGTGCCTGGTTTTAACAATTCGGGTGGGACATCTGTTGCTTTCAGGTACAGCCCTCRCTCCATCTGTAGAATTCTTCAGTGGAGAAACAACAGAAGCCAGTGGACTTGACTAAGAGATGAGCTTTTTTGCTCAAGACAACACCAGCAGAGTAGATCTCAGACACTCATCTCTGTGCAGTTGCCAGAAATGGGGAAAAAGGAGTCTTCACTGGTGATGYTAGAGATTGATTGCTCTGATAACCCAGCAGCTGATTTCAGGCCACTAGCATTTATTTCAAACAACAAATGCACAAATCAGAAAGTGAATGAAWCCTGGAAYATTTCATTCCTTAATTGTTTCAGTYTTGGGCCTTTGGCTGTTGCATGCTTTTTATTCTAGTTATTTTTAAAGCAATGAATGAGACCCCTATGACTGGAACTACAAACGAAACTGCTCCAGACATCCTCACCATCTTCTCCTAGAAGATGTTGATGAAGTGTTTCTAAAGGTGGCCAAGTGGCCCTGGCAGACAGGAAAAAACAGCAAACCTGGGCAGAGAAAGCAGAGGAATGTTTTCACTGCCACAGTATTTGTGCGTTACAGTTTTCTGCTTGCCCATGAAAGAATGAGATATCTTCATGCCCTGCAGTTACTCATGCTCACACACACCTACAAGGAACTCAGCAGTCTCAAACAAGATCAAACCAGAGACCCAGTGTCTTAGCAGCACTGGAGA